TGTATCCCGAAAGCTGTCTTCTCCTTGTCATTATCCGCCATGCGGACCTGCCAGTACCCACTGGCCAAGTCCAGGGTACTGAACCACCTGGCTCCCTCGAGTGCGTGTAAGTTATCATCGATCCGAGGGATGGGGTAGGCATCCTTCAGGGTGGCTGCATTGACCCGCCGGTAGTCCAAGCAGAAGCGGACAGACCCGCCCTTCTTCCGCACCAGGACCATCGGCGACGACCACGGGCTGTGCGACGGTTCGATTACCCCATCCGCCAGCATCTGGTCCACCTGCCTCTGGGCCCCCAACCACTTGTGGATCGGAAGCCGCCGAGGAGGTTGCCGGCTGAGCGGCGCCGTCCCTGTGTTGATTGGGTGCTGGACCCAGTCGGTTTGGCCGAGCCTGCCGTCCAGCCCGGTGAAGGCACCCTGGAACTCCACCAACAGGCTCGCCAGCCCTGCACGTTCCTCGCCGTCCAGATGGGCGGCTCCCCGGTCCAGGAGGTCCTGCAGGTGGGTGGGCATACTATCGCCCGAGCTCCAAGAACAGCCTCCCTGGCAACCGTGGCCCGCCAGACCACCCTCGGGGCTCCAAACGGAACCTTCCGTAGAGCAGGGCTCTGAAACCACCTGTTGAGAACTCTCCTCGGGGTCGATCACTGCACCTTCCTCCACGGGGGCGAACATGGCCAGACGACTTCCCTTATAGACTGTAACCGGGTCTCCCGTCGGGTTGAATACTCGCACCGGCACGTTCCCCTGACTGGTATCCACGAGGCCGGTCGCGACGGCCAACTGGTAGTGGTCCGTGGCCGCCAGGCTGGGGTAAACCATCCCCATTCCGCGGGCACGATCCCCACAGACTCTCCCGGTCACAATCGCCTCGTGCCCGGCGGGGCTTACCACGCTCTCGGCCACCTGGACCCGTGCCACTTCCTGCTTGCAGCTCGGCCCCTCCAGAAAACCAGCTTGCCGTCAACCACGAGCGAGTTGTCACTCAACCTCCACTCGCAGCGGTGTTTAGCCAGGAAGTCTATCCCCGCGATGACGTCGTGTTCGATATCCGCCACGGAGTAGGTGTGTAGGGTGCACTGGTCCCCCAGCAGGAGTTTGAAGTCAGCGACCCCATGCGCTCCCATCGGGCTACCATCAGCCATCCGCAGAGTCGGTCCAGCTGGCTGCAATCTGGGTTTGTCGGCGCCGGTAATTGCCCATAGTAGACCCTGGCCGACACGAGACTCACGGCTGCCCCCGTGTCTAGGAGCACCCGCACTGTCTTGCCGGCCAGCTTGCCGGTGGCGTAGTTGGCCCGGTTCGTCGGCACCACCGACGTCTCCCTGTGTCGGGCTGCTGGCTCAGTCTCTGCCGCCAACGGCCGCGGCGCAGGGGCTGGCCCCGGTGGCGAAGTGGAGACTGGCTCCGCCGGCAGCCGGCCCTGGACGGCGCCGCCCTTGTCCTTCCGCGCAGACAATCCTGGCGGAAATTCCCATACTCGTGGCACCCGTAGCACTGGACCTGCGAGGGGGCGCCCGGCAAGGGTGGGTCTCCACCCACCAGCTCACCTGGCGTACCTGCGGAGGGTTCCACAACCACCCGGACCTCCTTGGCCCCGATATTACCCTTCCGCTGATGGGCCTGGGACTCTAAAAAGGCCTCCATCTCAGTGGCCAGGGTAATTGCCTCCGCCAGGGTCGTGGCCTTCCTTACGAAGACATGGCGCTGCAATTGTTCGTCCCCAAAGGCGTTCCGGAAGGCCTCCACCGCCAGATCTTCTGTGCGTGGATCCGAAGGGGATCTGTCTCACACAGACGGGTGTGGATCCCCAAGTGGGGATACGCCTCATTAGTTTGTGCGCGGATCTGAGGGGGATCCACTTCGCGCATCTGTGCGTGGATCCCAGGGGGATCCGCCTCACACAGACGCGTGCGGATCCCCGAATGAGGATCCGCCTCAATCGCGCCACCCGTCGCAGTCTCGCCGCGTGGGGGCGCCTGCATCTCACTATTTATCTCACAAACTCCAGCTAGCCCGTCTCGAAACCCCCTCCGACGACCGGGGCCTCGCAGCGCTCCAGGTGGTACATCACGGGCCCGCTAGTTCCCATCAATTCGCACCAGGGCCCCGCCTCCGCGGCTGCCGCCGCGGCCCGGCCGCGCTCCGAGTGGGACGCTACCTGAGCTACCGCGGCGCCGCAAGAGGGCGACCCCATATTATAACCAGTATTACAAGCTTCAGCTATCTTGCACCGAAGCTCCAACCCCGCAGCAGCCGCCCAGCCACGCTCCGAGAGGAACGTTCTTTCGGCCACGACGGTACCGCGAGAGGGCCCCTCCGACGCTACCACAAGACACGAATGAATTTCCAACTGGTTCCCGTCGGGACCCCCTAGCCGCGGACCCACCCTGAGGGCGCTCCGACTGGAACGCCTCATGGACGCCGGTGATGGGTGTACCAGTGAGGGGTTGGGGGGATGTCGCCGGGCGATGCCCCGCCCCCTCTTCAGCGGCTGGGGCGAAATGGCCGTGCTCCAATCGGAACCGCACCTTCCTCGCCCCATCGACTTTGGAAGGAGGGAAGTCGCCCGGGGACTGCACAGGCGTGGCCGCATTCTCCTGGGAACCTACCCCAAAATCATCCTACACCGCGCACTCGATGAACGCGATACCCTCCAATTTCTGCCCCCCGCTCCTTGATAACTGTTTCAGATTCTCCATTAGGAACGAATCCAGCTCACCCACCAACCTTGGCGAGTTCCACGTCGCCTTTGCAGTCTGGGCCCCGACTGCGGGGCCCCGCGCTGGCCTGTGCTGCCGCTGTCCAGTGAGTCCGGCACCCGACCAAAATCATCCACCAATTCCATGGCACAGAGAAGGCGAAGAGTTTACCTGCTTTTCCTGTACCCAGCGTCTCTTCACTGATATGTTCATCTTCACGTTATATTAAGTAAAATATTGATAACATTTGATTTTAGAGTATTGTTTATAGTACCTATAACTCAACTCACAGACCCTCCTTTTAAGTTCATAAATATTCAGTTTCGAATGTAATATGGCACTTAAGAATTGCAGTCGTCCAGCGTCGTCGACTTCCGATCGTAGGAAATTGCCATGGAAACAACCCAGTAATTACACCCTCCAATCGGGGTGTCACATCCCCGGTTACCCCTAACCCCGTGGACATAACCTTTGCACTCTGACGCAAAAGAAGCCACCAGATACACCTTGATCTTCTGTTTTACGGAGACCCATTTACAAATTTATTATGTTTTTTTTTAAATATTTACAATTTGGTTGATCTGACACGATATGAAATACGGTACGCCCGCGACTTTTGGGGTTTTGAACGCAGTAGATACACAATTTAAATTGAACGTGAAATTCTATGGCGAAACAGGGTAGCTGCGCAGACTTGTGTTTAGTCTGGGTCAGAGATTCAGGCACGTGTAAATCATGCATTACACATGCACGCAGCAGCCAATCAGAGGCGCTCATTACCTTTGGTCTGGGCGATGGCTGCGTGGGTTGTCAGGACTTCTTAAAATGGCGGCGTGCTAACCACAGCTCTGCGGAGTTGTGTTGTCTTCCGAGTTGTGAGCGCTAACTCTGACGTACGACCGCTGGTGGTTGGGGATCTACCTCAAGTGTGCCTGGTGCGATCGGTTAGTGAGGTGCTTGTACCCAGTTGCGGGAGCTGCCGATTACATCAGATCTCATTGAAGATTGGGGGATTGTTAGACAGTCTCGTTTAAGAAGTGGTAGTTTATAGGGTTAGGGAACCCGTGTGAACCAGTTAATTGAGGAATTAGCGGAGCTTAGACTGGATGGGTTACGTGCCGTTGTTCCACGCTTGTTGGCATAGCGACGGTTGGTAGCAGTCCTGGGAGCTTGCTTTCCCCGTTGAGATTTCCTGGGTGCAGGTTTCCGTTAGAGTCTGGTGAGGACTATTATAATCGCCCTCTTTTCTTACCTGTGTTATTTCATAATAATTTAAAGGGGGTGAGGGTTAAAGTCACTTTGAACCTTGTTGCAGTTTGGGAACCGTGTTGCTTAGTAAGGTAGTAGAGATTATTGTTATATAAGTCTAACCCGTTGTGCTGTATAATTGCAAGGATTGTATTTACTTGTGTGGTCAAGACTTAGTTATAAGCCATCGGTAGCTTATTTATTTAGACTTGAGGGTTACCTGGTTGTTGTGAGGGTTACCCTGATCACTGCGAGGGTTAGCTGGTTATTGTGAGGGTTACCCTGAAAACTGTGAGGGTTAGCTGGTTATTGTAAGGGTTACCCTGATCGCTGTGAGGGTTATCCTGGTGTAGGTTAAGGATAAGGTTGATTAATCACGTTCGTGGTGCAGTTGACCACGTAGGACTACCTCCCCGTGAGGATAATTAATTGCTGTTGTATATAACGGATAACTGAGCACTGACATTGAATAAACCAATCATATAATTGCCTTAGAAATCACTGGTCACCGTGAGATTTTGTTGTCCGGTATCACTTGTATTGACATTTACTACAATCTTTATTGATACTGGGATCAATTACCTAATCACAGAGCGGTGGTAAACTTCCACCAAACGAACAGCCCCTACGGCATAGTCCACCGTTCGTTAACTGATATACCCCCTTGCGTTTGGATAGCCGCTCATTCTTGCGTAAGGTTAAATAAATATATTTGTGGGGTTAGGGCAGGTCAATTCCATCCCCTATCAGGCCAGTCTTCTGGTCCGCCACAAAAAGGTGTCAGTTGTCCCGCTACAATTCTAAAGGATCCTTTCTATCACTGCAGCGATGACTGGTTCACGTTTTGGCCAGGAACTCTCGGGCTGTCTCACGGCAGAGTAGCCTTCGGGGCACCTGGCTGACTCTTTCTCGTATACAGCGGTCTTGAGTTGACCCCGAGTCTTGAGTTGTTCCTTGAGTTTCTGGCTAGCCCTTGGATCGGACTGCTAGTCCAATACCCACAGTAGAACCCTACGTAAATGAAATGCAAACCTTTTCTGAACACCCATCTGGTACAAATGTTCGACAACGTCGAAGGGTGTAATTATACAGGATATTATTATAGTACCTGTAGTTGCAACCATTATTACAACTATTTAAAAAATAATGACCACTCCATATCTTGACAACATCTAATCTTTTAAAGTGACCAATGCAACCATAAATCCAAGTTCTCTAATACATCTTCGTTACTCCAGCAATCACTTATCTAAATGTAAATACGTGTAACCACAACATTTTCAAAATAAACTTACAGGTTGCGTGGACACCTGGTTCTTGGGAAATCTTGCGTCTCGAGTAGTGTTTTTTCCGCCTTGCGTATCGGTCGGAGTTTATCTTCACCGATACACCTGCTTCCAATCATTAAGTTCTTCAGTGCACCTAGCTGGATTCTCGCAGTTTCAGACTCAATTACAGCAAAATCATCGAGGATGGCAAGACGTGCCCTCTCCTCGGACTCTCCGACGCAAGTTTCCTTTACAACCCGAAAATTGTTTATACACCGCCAAATTTCTACCTGGGACACCCTCAATCCTTTTGTTGTGTGACCCTGGTGACCTCATAAGAAAGGACTTACTCATGCAAGAGTTGAGCTATCCAATGGGCTTTGTCTGTTCTTCGCGTGAAATTATCTAATTTAAATAAAAATACTACATGGAAACACTGGCCAAATAAAAATCAACAATTTGTTTCTGTCAACGCACACTCATGTTATCTTATATGTTTGGCTCCTATGCGTAAATAGAATAAGAGTTATTTCTCTTGAACAAATTAATCTCACTTCGTGACCCTGGGATTTAACAGAATGATAAGAAGTCAAGTGCATGTCATACGCACCTTTACTGTATCAGTGTAACGGAGTGCTTCGCTTTCTTTTGTTTGGCTTTGTTCAATTTGCTTGGCTTCAATTTGTTGGTTCTCGAGAGGAGCTGATTCTCGAGTAGCAAGGAATAAAACAATATCCGAGTTGAGGCCTACTTGTCATTTCCAGTCCATCCCTTACCACAGAGTCCACACTCTGATCCCCACACAGGCTTGGGCCCCTGTACCCGCTTGACATGCTGCTGCCGAGCGTTTTCCCTAAGTGACATTTCAATAACGTAAAAACTTAACCATTTTAAGTACGTTTTTAACTTCCTACAGTGAACTTCCACTGGTGCAGCTAAGTAGTTGAAGATTAGTAGCATTAGCTAAAACTTGTCTATAGCGACTCTGTTGACAAATAATCTACGTCCCTCCACCGTTTACACACATAAAATGCGTGCAGTGCAATTAATACACATATATATGAAATTCTTTCTGCAGTGAGATTCAATGGTACAAGGCTGTGCAAATGAAAGGATTCATCCATTAGTTAAAAGGAGATTTCTTCTCAATACATATGCAAATCGGGCGATGATTAACAATCAGTACGCTGGATTGGGACAATTGTGAAATTGAAATAAAACATATCGTCAAAATAAAGTCGATCCTACATAATTGATTCATATAGTTAGATTTGTAATGTTACCCAGTAGAGATTACAAGCCCTCGAAGTCAAGAAACACGTCCCAGTAGTAACACCGTTTTTAGTATTAATCGATGCATAACGGTCGACACGCACATTAGGCAAATTTGAATGTACACACTGTAAAATAATGCATATTTAGTGAATGATACTTTAGCTATATCTTACCAAGTTTCACATCTGCTGAGTCGAAATCTGAAAGTTCCCCTGCAACTCCTGAGGCTCATTAAATGAAACATAAAAAGGTTGCTCTTTGTCTGCCAAGCTTATAAACTTGTTATTGATATCAAAACAGAAAAAAATGGCTACATGGACCCATGGATGTCTTCTTTCCTCCATGGTGGACACGTCCGCAATAAAGGGCAAACGCCATCGAACCAGTTGCAACACCCACGCAGCTATGAAAGTTGCAATTAGAAGCTAGGAGAAAAAAAATAAGGACAAAGATTACATCAGTGTTGCCTCGGTACAGTCAAGCAAGTGTGTAAATAACCCCCGCCAAACCCTTTTCCCTCTAAGTTCCGCGCAAAGAGGTAGGAAGAATAGGACAGCGTTCTGTTTACCGAAGTCTAGTCTTTATTGATCATCATTACCTGGCTAAACGCTTGAGATTTGAAACATCAAAAGAAACATTTCACGACACATTTACCCTTGCCATTGCGGACACTGCTTAGCTTTTAGTTGCTCACGTTTTACGTACGATGCCTCAACTGTCTCAATGGAGTGGGGGTTGTACCGCCCACTATATCTTCTGAGATTCAAGTTTGAATCGTTACAAAGATTGATTACCGACACGATACGGATGTGCCCCAAGAAACGGCCTAGCACAAGTGCTACATAAGAGTGCTCATAAATAATATATTCCCTCTGGACCAATTAAAGTGCACCCAGAATTCGGGAGACCCATGTGTTGCTGAAGAGTATTGCACGCTCGCTGGTGATTAGCAAGACCAATGTGTGACGAGAAATCCCGGTCAATGCGGCTGCAAGGACAAGTTGGCTCTTAGCGGGGTACTGTGATATCATATCTATTCCTTGATCTTCTTCTGTCTTCAAGTTGAGCCCTGCCCGTCTTCTCAAAGGAGGTCATCCCTTGCAGGATGGTGTGACACCAGGCCTCACGTTTGGTGGCTAGAACAGACAACTGGTAATGGCTCATGCGACAGGTGCCATGGAATTTTTTTTAAAGAATCACTGTACCTTTTCTTAGGTACCCCTCTGTCACGATGGCCAGTCGAGAGCTCGCCACATAGCACAATACTGGGCAGGTGATGATTCTCCATCCAGAAGAGGTGTCCTGCCCAGCATATAGCTGCGTCTTCAATAACATCGCCTCAATGCTGGTGACCACCATCTGAAAGAACTTCAGTGTTGGTGATAGAATCACTCCACCGGATATGAGGGATAGTGCAGAGGCATGCATCGCTGATGGAGGCGCTCAAGGAGTCGGAGGTGGTGATGGTAAGTGGTCCACCACTTGAGAGCCAAACAGAAGGGCAGACAGTACAAAGTAATATGGAAAGGCTGCGTAGCACCGTGATCAGAATATCGACAAGAATATAATATCAAATCAGTGCTCTGAAATATGCGATTGCCGAGCTCTCGGTAACTGAGTACCTTCTTCAGGGCAAGCAGATTCAGTTCAAGAGTAGACAGTACAACAGCTCTGTATACACTGATCTCAGTGCTTTCTTCGGCTGCCTATTGTTCTGAACTTATTTGTACAGTCTGCCAAACGCACTGCTTGCCTTTGCCAGTTTATTGTCAATCTCTTTATTCATCTTGGCATTGGATGAAATGGTGCACCCGAGGAAACTAACTTGATGGACTCCTCAAGAAGAGGTACTCCTCAAGAAGTGCGGGCTGAAGAAGAACTTCTGTCTTCTTCTAGCCAACCCCTAGATCGAAGAGCTTAGCAACCTCTGCGAAGAACGTTTTTTGCTACAGGGCACGCAGACTAAGGGCAGCATCATCAGAGAAAAGTAGATAGCTCATGGATGAGTTGCTCCTGTATCTTTGATGTGGGTTTTTAGTCGTCTTAAGTTAAACGGACTACTGTCTGCGCAGTATCAGATACAAGCACATTCATCGTCGTCAATTAGGTCTTCCGAGGCCCGTTTGAGCATCTCGCTGAAAAAAATCGAGAACAGAGTCAGCGCGAGGACACAAACTTGCTTAACGTCATTGTCTATTGGAAAGTGATCTGAGAGGACAAGGCTATGCCCGACTTGACCGCTGCTGATCTCATGTTCCATGATTTGCCAAACACCTTTCCTGCTGACAGTATCGAACGCTTTAGTAAGGTCGACAAAACTCATATATATCCCTGTGTTCTGCTCCTCACATTTTTCTTGGAGCTGTCTGAGTACAAACACCATGTCAGTAGTGGTTCTGAGGCCACAATGGCTCTCTGGAAGCTGTTCTTTTGCGATAGATGGCAAGGATCTGTTCAGAAGAATTCCTGCAAGGATTTCACCTGCAATGGAGAGCGAGGTTATTCCCCTGTATTTAGTACACTCATCAGATATTTCGCCGTCTGTTCTGATACGGGCTGATGATAATTCGTGGAGGTCCTATGGTAGCTTCCCATGCTCTCAGCAGCAGACAAAAGAGTTCATGGAGTTTGCCATGTAAGGATGAGCCCTGTGTTTTTAGATTTCTGGAGGGATTCCATCAACGCCTGGTGCATTGCCACTTTTTTGACTGCTCTATTGCCTTGACAGTCTCCTACAGGGTTGGAATGTCACCCAGTTCTGCTTGGAGTAAGCAGTGCTGTCCTTAGAGAAGGCTACTTGGTCGTTCAGGGTGGGGCTCAATGATGTTGTAGTCTCCAGAGTCATCAGATGATGAACCACCTGCATACAGGATGAGGACTGCAGCTTCAAGTGTGCCATTTTTAACCTACCGTTTCTGCCTCTTTTCTATCGCTGCAGGGCTTGAAGTAGTTGGAGGGTATTTGGATGTGACCTTAAGGCCTGCATCGTGGAGTTTTTAGGTGGAGCTGCACTGGCCCCACCCTTTACACACGGGGTTCATCTGCCATGGCCTAGAAAGCTGGGACAGTTGCAGCAAGGTCTTCAGGTAGTAGGTTTTACATCAGACTGTCCTTATTCTAGCCTTTAGACTAAAAACCTTCCTTGGGCATACGAGGGCTAAAGCCAGGCTGAATTCTATTTGACAATAGTCGGGGTTATAAACAGGTGCTAACGCTCCAGGTCTAGACGGACCTTAGAGCAATGGCAATAAAGAGGTGGCTCCACACACTAAAACTTCAGAACTCCCGTACCAAAGCCTTGCCACCTGATGCACTTTAACGCCGTAGTTGCAACTATACCGGTATATTGCACTTATGGAACAATTTTGTACCAAAACACTTAGCGACTTAAAGTTTGTTTTGTTTGAAGCAAGCTGATTGGCCAATGACAATGACTTGATGGGACTGGGCCAATGACATGTAAATAATCTGATCTGTTTGGAATGGCTACGGGGCTGTCAGTATTGCAAACAGCTAGCTAGCAGAAGCTGTGCTGTACTACACTGCCTAGCTGTTTTGCTGAGAGATTTAGAAACTATATTTGATTTTCCTCCTTTTGGTTTGGACTCAAATCAGAAGGACTGATATTTTGTTATAACAGTGTTCATTTTTAATAAATTGAAATTCGATTATAAACGTGCTCCAAAGCTTCTTGTGTGACTAGGTCAAAATTTCTGTGGGGGTATCCAGGGGTGCACAAAATTTTTCATGCAGGTAGTGAAATATAATCGTGGTTTGTACGTATTATGTGCACATTTCATATGGGTGCATGGGGGGCGGACAGACTCATTGAGGGCATGTGCCTCCCATGCCTCATGTAGTTTTGTCATTACATCAGACCTGGCAGCAAGATCAATTGATGTCAACTGGTTGACACGTGGTGCTGTGGTTCAGGGTTTTCATCATGACATTAGGCCAAATGAAAGTGTGCTCTTTGCTTAAAGTACTGAAGAATTATGGTTTCATGGAATAATGGGGTGGATCTCACTTGCTACTACAGCTTGCAGTAAGATGGCACTGCGATCAAGTCCGATGTGATGTCTGCTACCGACGAACAACCTGGGGTGTGAGCAAAAAATTCATGTCTTGAAATGATGTAACATTATTTTGCAATATTACCACAATATTCAATTACATGTACGGAAATAACTGATGCATAATGATTGTCGCCATTTACATCGCACTTGACCTTTCTGACATGCGTTCTCAAGCCACACATTATTTATGTCAAATTAACATTATTGCTGATGGGACAAAAATCTCTGTAACTGTATTTTGCATTTTCATGAAGAGACATAAGTCTGCCTGCACCTTGTACCCATACAAAACTTATTGACTGCAAAGGAAGAAAATGGGTAAACTAAGATTTTCGTTTTAATCCAGATATTTGTTACATTCACAGCGGCGCATGCGTAACCATGTGTACCCCTTCCCTATGGAAAAATATATTGAACAGAAGGGCCAATATGAAGGAAAACATGGATGTTCAATTTCAAGGGGCATTCCATGTCAATTCATCACGCTTTTGGACCCGACTGTCATGGATTGAAAAGAAATTTGGTGTGCTGATTAGATTCCTTAAGAAACCCCAACACTGAAATTTTAAGTCAATTTGCCAAGGAATCCAACCAGCATATGGAAGTTTATTTCAATCTGTGATGGTCAGGTCCAAAAAGCATGTTGAATTGACACGGAATGACCCAATTGATTTCAGCTAATTAACCACTGTGTTTAATAAATTGTTTCAGGCAAAAGTTTACATCTTAAAGAGTCATTTGGTTTTTACAGTGTTAACGTGTTCCACGTTAGCATGTTTTGCAGCTTTGAAATGGTAGAAACCTTTCTGGCTATAATCTTGAAAGCCAGTTTTTCCTTCAAAATCTACTTGTGTTGCTCTTTGTGAACACGGTGGAAATATAAAGGCAAGGGGAGACTAAACCAATTTAAACCCTATCTTTTTGAATCGCAATAAAAATTACATGTTAATTCTCAATTGAGCAGTTGCAGGTAATATCAAAACTTAATATCAAAATTACCACTTAAAGCCATGGCCAGGCTGAGTTCTTCTTTCAGAATCCCCAGAACTTTTTCCACTCCGTTAGCACCCTGTGTATATGACCAGATTGAGACAAAATTTAAACATCAGTGTTTTATTACAAGGAAGGTTTTACTTAGGATGCTCTCCACAAGGAACAAAGTACAATATATCCCACTTCCTCACACTGGACATTCATATTTTTGTAATTTTGATTGGCTGTTTGACAGGCTTTTGCCAAAATGTGTTAGTTCCATGACTTTTTTATTGTAAAGTAGGTCTGCACTTTCTCCTTCAAGAAAAGCTGAGGCAAAACAGACCTATGTTTTTTAACCCCCAAAAGATCTCTACGTACATCGTAAGCGAGGCCCCACAGTGCTGGTCGGCCGATGAACACGGCTCGTGCACCCAAGGCAAGGGCTTTGAGGACATCAGTGCCTTTACGTACTCCTCCATCAAGATACACCTCCACACCGGAACCACGCACTGCATTGACGATCTCTGCCAAGACGTCAATCTGTTGGTGATTACAAATCATTGTTCAAAACTTAAGTTAAGGGCCTACATATGATATATGTATAGTAAACTCAGAATTTTCCAGATTTTAAAGGGAATTATTTGAATATCCTGAAATAAAGAAAATCCTCATAAAAAAATGCTGAACTCAGGCAAAATCCTGACAAATCTCACCCGCAATATATTAAGAAGTATCAAAGCTCAGATTGTTTGTGAGCATTTACTAAACTGTCTGGACTTGGTACATCATGCAGTGTCTATGTATTTTGAAGTAAAGCTGCATCAAGAATCTACCTATTGCCGCAGGAAACTGTGTAGTCGAGACCAAAAGATTTCCTTTGCCATTTTTCACCCTGTTACTTGTGACTGGTTGTGTCAAAGGGCTTATGATGGTCTTGACTACAATGCTAGCAAGAAATAACATGTGCACCAATTGAAGCCACTGGCTTCTGGCTGCAGCTACTTCATGTAGACGGGTAAGCTACTCTGAGGCAGCCAGGTGATTTAAACCTTACCGTAGCTGGTACCCCATCGAGCTGTCGTCCGCCGTGGTTAGACACCAGGATACCAGCAGCACCATGCCTCACAGCCTCCACTGCGTCTTCAGCTGTAATATGGGAATGGAACAAAATGAAAAGATGTTCTCACAATCAAAGCAACTCTACTTTAATACACAGAGCATTATTATTATCACAGTAACTTCTTCAAACATGTCTGTACTGCAGTAGACCTAATGGTAGATTTGAGTGGCAACTTTGATTAATTAAATGATTGAAATCTTATAATCCTAAATTGAAATCCTGTGAGATTTAGCCAGTGTTGGAATCATGGCCTTTCCTAATCCTGTGTGAAGTTGTTGTTTTGTGTTAGTGTTTTTTTGCAAATTCAGATGAAAAGTGACATGTGCAAGAGGAAGCATTTTGTACATGCATGTGGCGTATTCCTCAAATGACACTATATCAACACTGTCAGACTCAGGCTGAGATCTATAAAGGTCAACCCTATGGCTGTATGATGATCTTCATGTACAGTTGTTTTCCTCACCTGTGAGTATACCTTTCAACACAAATGGAAGTGACGTCAATTCTTTTAGCCGCAGAATGTCGTTCCATGTTCGTGAATCAGAAAACTGTATTTGATCACGGCTGAACTGCTCGTCAGAACGTAGAACTTGAGGGAACCTGTCCACAGAAGTATAAAGAAAGCCAGTTACGGCGTAGTAAATGGCAGATCTCTGCTGTTGAATATAGTCTCATTGGTAGGAGCAATTAGTGCAAAGGTCTTTTTTATACAAATGTAGTTTTATACAAACCATCCTCCAATTATGTAAATGTTTCCAATGGACTACTGAGCAATGTTGGTGTCAGATATTTTGTTAGATATTAAAATTGATATTTTTTCCGCAGTGCATTAGCTAATCTAAACATGCCCATGTTGTGCATGGAGAATGGCTCCGCTGGTGAAACTGTCCACTGTAATCAAGAGTACACCACACTGACACATCTAGTCAATTGGAGAGCTAGCAGTCAGTGGTGCATCACTCACAAGTTGGATTAACTTACTTAATTCCCGTCAGGTCAACTTCCTTTCCATTATCATAGTTTCGTTTCCCCAGCATTGGTTCGTCTACCGTTACCACTAGCGCTTTGAAGCCCGCTGCCTCAGCTCGTCTGATTGCTGCCTCAACTCTGGATCTGTCACGCAGAATGGTGAGCTGAAGCAACAACGGCGTGTCGGGGGGCACAGAGGCTGCGACGTCCTCCAGAGTCCTGTTGGACCACATGCTGAGAATCATGGCAGATCCAACACTTGATACACCTGGAAATAACACCAAACATTTCATAACTACAGCCTGAAAGCATGCATGGTCTAACCAGTATTCTGATATTCAGGCTGGGGCAAGTTTGGCAAATGTTAAATACCGTTCGAACAATGATCTCATCCACCATTCTGGATCAGGTTCTGGGCATGGTTGCACTGCTGATTATAAGGAGCCTTCTTATAATAACTAACACAAAAGTGAACCATTGACTGAATGATAATTGCACAAGATTGCAGGGAGAGTGCTTGCCAACCAATGATAACAAGTGAACGACATTGGAATTTAAAAAAAACATGGTTTGACTAGGGTCTTTCAAGAGGGTTGGTACTGTATGTGCTGAATAGGCACAAACAGGTGACTTGTAGTCATGGTAGTAGAACCACAGCTAGCCATACAGGTGGGACGGGTAGGAAGATATACAAGTTCCACAGGATTTGTAAGCATCTCCACTAGGATCAGTTTATATGAACCAGACGCTTTCCAGAAATTTTGCAAGGTACATGTAAAGCTCACCTCTGGCAGTTGCAACTTCTCCATCTTTGTGTGCAAAGCAGTGAGCGGCTGTGGGAGACACCCCGACGGGGAACGCAAGCCGATGACCAAGGATAGAGGTGCTAGTGTCTCGTTGAGACACGTCCCTCAAACATCGAGGTCGAAGACGATACCTTTGTCCATAAAAATTCACCATAACATAGGCCTTTTTAACAATACATTCTTTGAAAAATAAAAGGAATAAAAAATAAAACTTAAATTGCAGGTGCGAACCATAGCTATAGACGACAAACAGATGCCCGTGTATCATGTGACCAAATTTCGTGCTGAAAAACCCCTCCAAAACCTGTGCACTGTACGGCCAGGCATGCTTGTACTAGCTGATTGTAACAACAGTAACATGACTTACACACACCTTTACGTGGCCTATTTTGGGGTTTTTAAAGAATCCATTCAAACAATCTGAGGTTTGCCAGTGCAGCCTCTCTTTCGAACCAGCCACAGGGCTTCCTACCTCTGAAAGGCCAGTGGATTATCTCTCAGTGTCTGTTCATCCTGGGCTCCTGATCTGTAATACTCCCAGAAGAAGTCAGACACGCTCGCCTTGAGGTACTGTTCGAAGTCCTCTACGCAGACTGGCGTCAACGCCATGTTGATTTTGAACAACCCACTCGTCCCCTGGAAACTGGTTCACAGACGCTCTGCAGGAAATGAAGAAAATAGAGTGTATGTTATTCTCAACTGCACTTAAGCTACTGAGGCACAATAGCATGTAAATAGGATAGGTATACTAAACTTTGGAAATGCATTCAGGGAGAACTAACATACATGTAGCTACATGTGGGACTACCCTCTCCACAACAGTGTTTGATTCACTTTGAATGGACTCAAAGAGGTTCTGATCTTATAGAGAACAAATGCGGTGATTTACAGGTAACACACTTAATGGAATGGCCAAAACTTGTTAGTTCATGGGAAGAAAGGTTGAGGCACTTAGAACCAGTATTGACCTGTGTTTACAACGGAGAGAACTGCTATATTAATTAAATGTGCATGTACTTAAGTTCACGGTAGGAAACCTCCCATGAATGTACATGTATGTACATACCATCATAATTCAACCTGATCATGATGACAAAAATTCATCATCAACCTACATGTATGTACATTCATGATCATGCCCATCTGACCCTGGAGCAATGTACTGATAGGTTGTTGACATTGCGAAAATCTTCTCAGTTAAAATATCTGCTTTTCGGGGGCTCACTCTATCATCTTGAAAATTGACAAAGACAAGGTTGGGTGATAGTAGTCTACTATGTAATGCCCTTTTAAACATTAAAACATCTCTCAAACATCTTACCTACGATTTTAAGACCGTCATATAAAAAAATCAGAGCTTTTTTACTCACCATCCTCTTATTCTGCTAATGATAAATTTTAAAAAAATGGTGATTCGTGGCGTCAAAGTTACTCGGACTAGTGATTTGTAAAGTACATAGTCCAAGTTTTCCAACTCGGACTAGGCCTTGCTACCATGCCTACTCCTGAGTCTCCCTTAATTCTTCCAGAACCAAAACTGTCAAAACTTATCCACATCTCTCTCAACATGGTCAAATATCTGACCTTGCCCCAGAACTGTGGAGTCTGATGTGAAAGCGGGCGGATGCCGGACCCCACAGTTGGGGTAACATCTGACCTACGATTTCAAGACCTTCATTATACAACAAAAAATTGGAGCTTTTTACTCACCATCCTCTCATTCTCCTCACGATAAAAAGTAGGCACAAGAGCTTTGCCTTGCAGTTATATATAGTCGTTTATATGTGACGAAGGGGTAACCTGCGAAGTCCCTTTATTCACTACTTAATGTGAAAACAAATCTGACTTGATTATGTGGTGAAATTAGGGACCTGGCGACTATATGTTCACGCACGTTACACGGCTAGGCCTTCATATGATGGAGTATCATACGTACATGTACATGTAGGCCCTGTTCATTTGGTATTACACTGTTACAGGACTAACCTTTGAGAAGAAAAAGAAATTTACCGTTCAAATTGGAACTCCCCCCCGTCGAGCTCGAGTTGTAATTTCGTTGTGTAAACCATGGAGATAGCCTACCTCCAAGCGTAAACTTAACTTTCCAGGACACGCCGGTAATGGTACATGTACAATTAAAGTTCAAGGTCTATCAGGTCTATGGTTAAATTAAGGTTCGGCCTCACCTTTATATACCGTTGTTTACATTTAAACACGCGCACACGGATTAGCCTTCATTCAAGGCGCGTGCGGCACCTTAGATATACTAGTAATTTGTTACCAGCTGGGCATTCAGGGTGGCAAGCGTGCCTTGACTAAAGGCTACACCCGGATCCAACTCAGTACGGTGCACTATTTACGACGTCCCATCGCCTCATTTCTTTCTTATGACTAAACTTGGCTGATTAAGTACATAACAACCATTCTAAAAGGGACTTAATTACTGATAAACAGTTGCTCTAGTGTATCGGGTTAGAGCCTGAAAGCCGACCCCTGATGGCGCGCTTCCGGAACCCTTGGATAGGACAAATAACGTGCAAAAATTTTAGAATTTGTAATATTTTTTCGTTCATTTATTTCTTGTAAAAAGCCTTAATTCTGTAAAATATTTGCTAACATATCAATTTTTATAACACCTCACCCGCAGATTCGGTATCTTGACTGGCCGATAGAGTGTCATGTGACGCTTGCTAGTTTTACTTTTTTTATACCATTGCTTCAGTCAAAAGGACTATACCATGCAGCCTTATTCTGAAAAATAAAACTAGTAGACACACGTAGCAACCACTATATCCGTAGCAGCGAAAGCATAGGCGTGTATTTCGGCTCATAGCGAACAACATTGGTTAATGAATGCATATTTAAATGTTGCTGTTCCGCTTGGAATTCTTGAAATAAATTTAATGAAGATAAATTCCTATTTGGTGTTTTATTATTCTTTTTAGCTGAATTTGCAGAATCTGTGGGGAGGCGTTACAAAACCTAAATATTGACTGCTTTAATATCACGCGGTAAAGTTAAACTAGCCTCCAAAAGGTGATCCATGGGGCATTCTTTTTTCCGAGACAAAGCCGAGGGAAAAAGCATGCTCCACGGATCACCAAAACACTCGAAGCAGTCAATATTTTTACAATAGAAACTGAAAAATTACCTGACCCTAAAGAGAAATATCCTGCCAAAAATTGACCTATCACTTTCGCATATGGAAACCTTTTGTGCCAAAAGGACCCCATTTGAAAAGGCATGGCTGAAGCTGCTGTGCACAAATGACCTTGAATTCCCCTCGCTCCGTGGAGAGCTACATGTACACTACTTTACATGTAATGTACATGTACAGTACATGTACAGCTGTACAGTACATCCTGTTTATGGCGTGTGGTGTAGGCGTTAGTGTACCCATGTATGATTAGTCACTGCCAGGGGGCGGGCCCCAAGTAACTCCAAATTAATTAATGTCGTGTTATCCGGCCCGCTACAGGATAGGTTTCTGCGCCGCAAGCGCAAGGTTCTCTCTGATACGACAGTAATTAACGGACGACAACACTGTCTCTGTCGCTTGCTCTACAACTGACAAAATTTTATTTGAACCTCTCCTGAATAAAATAGGATTGACAGACTGATGGACTGATGAACAACAATCGGTGAGTCGACGGACTCGACTGATTGGTTTGGTCGACGGACAGACTACTTTGACGGGTCGACAGACGGACCCCTGGATATGCTAACCGTCTCTCCTACAACTGGCTACATCTGCCTCGACACACATTAAGCATAGTCCGTGAGCCCATATGGCTACTGTAAGTTGACTGAGTGTCGGGCTGTTGCGGTCTGCTGGGTGGTATGGGTGCAGACTGAATTCCGACGCCGGCATAGGTAGGCCCTTATGGGTGCACCACTAAAATTAACTTCCCACACACATCAGTGATAAATCCCCATACTTCACAAATATTTTTAAAATACTCACAACTTTCACAGGTGTTAAGGCTGCACAGAAAAATGATGTTCCTCATGTCCTCTTTCATTTTCCTTTCAATTTTTTTTGGGGGGGGGTGACCAATGAATTTTCGAAAAATTTTAATATAATACAGAATATTTTAAGTGTATAACTTTTATTATTAATGAGCTCGGCGGACATATTTCTGGCCTAAATACGAGGGTGCACCCTTTAATAGCGGGTAACTTTCACATTGTGACACAACAGCAAACTTAAGAGCATCAGAATATATCCAAAGTCATTATATAAAAAAAAATTGCAAAATATTGCCCCAGGGAGAAACCGCAGGGGTAAACGCATAAGGGTGTGGCTATGCCATTTTGCACGATTTGAGTAGGAAAACAGCATGCCTGTGTGCATGCCTTGTGCATCTTGAGGGTGCTTATTTCTTTCCTTTCCTCATCAAATCTAGACAAAATTTCCCTCTATAACACAAACATTCTATTTTGCAGTCAATCTGGACTCATTGTGTTGTGGATATGCCCACTTTGGGGGCGGATCCTGGGTGGAAAGGGGGAGGGTTCTGAGTATAAGTTTATACGCACAGTTGGACTTTGGAAAGTGTATGTGGGACTTTCCGTATGTTACAGATGATAATGTGACATCTGGTATTTTGGCTATTTCTCAATTTATTGAAACAAAGAAACGCCAACAGAAGATCAACAGCTGTACACAATGTACATTGATGCTATGCATTGGTGTACGTAAAATCATACTGAAGTCGGAGGTTTCAATACTAATGTCAGGGTTAATCCCTTGTCGTGGCTGCCCAATTCCATAAAACTACAAGCCGAGGATATATTGTGGCGTTGCGCCCATCCAACGAAGGCGAGGGCGCCCTCCTCGAGGCGCAGTGCGTCGGACGGCACACCGGATCGAGTCCCTGAGTGGCCGGCTAGGGACGAGTCCTTTGGGACCGAAGTATACCGTCCGCCAAGAAAGTTGGTCTTCGTCGAGATGATGGCTAACCTGATTGGTCGAAACTTAATGACGTAACGTGGACAGACCTGACTTGAAATAAACTTCGCCTGGACTCCTGACTTATAATTAACAAGCGGCTGGTTTATTCATGAACACACTCAACCAATACACCAGTAGAGGGCGCTATTGACGGGGAAACTGCGTGATTATACGTGACCGGACTTCGCCCCGAGCAGCGAACACCACAATTAATTGTGGGCATCTAGTGCCAAATCAGGGACTTTAGGAAGTCTACGGGGCCTATTGTCGGTGCTGCGCTAGCGCGCTACACGCAACTCGCGTCACGAGATATATAGCAATCCGCCCTTGCATCGACCGCAAGCTCCTATCAGGAACTATACCGCACCACCAATCAGCCCCTCAACCTACCAAGCCCCTCAACAGCACAGTCACACTAGGCTAGGTGACTTTAACCCTTGCACAGGATTCTCGACCCTTACCTCAGGATCAGCCCTTGATCAGAACGACTAGTCCTGGCCCACCGCTGTTTCGGCACGGAAAAGCGGTTGCGCGCATGCGCAAGATTTACGCCATTAAAGTGTGCCCTCTTGTGGTAAAAAGTACTATGAATATTAATGAGCTGAAAGGATCACCTTAATTAAATCCTTTTTGAGAGGCACTGTGTTAATGAATATTTATAGAATACGGCTTATTAATAAAA